ACCACATCCTCATCCCACTTCCCTATCCCTGTGCCCCCCAAAATTACTCATTAATGACCCACAGCAATTAAAAAGCTCTTTAGGAAGACGCCCAAACTTTAGGAATAAACCCTTTCTTTCAGAATAATTGTGCAAAGAGTAGTACAATTTTCTGGATGGAAACAATAGTAAATCCAGTAATTCACTAATGCTGGGATAAATTTAATTCTAATATATATTTTTTTATATATATATTTTTTTATATATATATATACATATAAGAATAATTAAGGGGCTTGGAACATTTCAAATTTCCTGATCAGACCATCCTCTTTTTAGCGTTGAGCAGTGCAAGCATGCTCTGGACTAATAACTGACCGTAACGGTCAGAGACCATCCTAAAATGGTCTATTTTGACTATTTTTTGAACATATTCTGGAATTTGTCTGATTTTTCTGGTATCAGGGTGGCAGTTATTCAAGTTGAAGGTGTATTATGATTTAAATGATATTAAGGTTTATTGTGCCTACTGCTTTGCCTGTTTTGATCCCTGATTTGAGTGTTTATGCTGCAAAAAAAATGTGTGATTAGAGACAAATTTGTACCGAGAAGGGCAGGGATGATGTGATGGTAGAGGGTAGAGTTAGCTGATAGTACTTGATAAGCGCTAATTTGGGGCAGTATAGTTAAAATCGCATCCAGATTGGGTAGTAAATATACAAATAGGTAGATTAATATTTGTAGCGTGGCTATAAAAAGTCAGTATATAGAAAATCACACAAAGATTATAAATATAAAGAGCTGGTCCCAGCATAGAGGAGCATCATCTCGGTGCGTTCATGGCGGTGTGATGGGAAGTGACTCCCCCAAAGGAATTAAGACACCAATTAGGGGTTCTGTCATGGTTTAAGCCCAGCCGGTAAATAAGGACCACACAGCCGCTCACTCACCCAGTGGGATGGGGGAGAGAATTGGGGAAAAAAAAGGTAAAACTCGTGGGTTGAGATACCAACAGTTTAATAGAACAGAAAAAAAGAAACTAATAATGATAACAACAACAATAATAAAATGACAATAGTAATAATAAAAGGACTGGAAGATACAAGTGATGCACAATGCAACTGTTCACCACCTGCTGACCAACTCCCAGTTAGTTCCCGAGCAGCGATCTGCCCCCCCAGCCCCACTCCCCCCAGTTTATATACTGGGCATGACATCACACGGTATGGAATACCCCGTTGGCCAGTTTGGCTCAGCTGTCCTGGCTGTGTCCCCTCCCAACTTCTTGTGTCCCTCCAGTCTTCTCGCTGGCTGGGCAGGAGAAGCTGCAAAATCCTTGACTTTGTATAAACACTATAGAGCAAGAACGGAAAACATCAATGCGTTATCAACATTCTTCTCAGACTGAACCCAAAACATAACGCTATACCAGCTACTAGAAAGAAAATTAACTCTATCCCAGCTGAAACCAGGACAGGTTCGGAAGGAATTCCCTTCACCCACGGACCCCACTCCTGGCTCTGGGATGCAATCTTCGGCATCTCCTGATGGCCATCCTTTCATTCCTTGCCGGGGCTGTTGTCCACAAGATGGACCGCAGATCTGCCTTGGTGTAGACCCAAAGATGCGATGGGGTAGGTCTGTTCACAAGCAGCATCTCACGCAGTCAAGCTACATCCACATTTCCATCATAAGTAAAGTTTCCCAAGTGCCACCAGGCTTGTAAGTGACATTTGGTGGCATCATCCCAGGCAACTTCACGAATTTCAGCAAGTAGGCTTCGGGCGTCACCTTCTCTTGAGGTTTCAGCTTGAACCCACCGTTGGGTCTGAAGGCAACTCAAAGCCAAGGAACTTGCCCATGGGTTACCCCTAAGGCATTTAGTAATAATGTGGTCATCGTAAATTGGATGTTCTCATTAAGGGACAGTGTTTGGGTCAACCACAGTCCCATTCCCAACTTAAGTAACCATGATTGTAAGGGAATACAAAGATTTCACAGCAAGGCAGTCACCGCCTCTAGCTTATTGACCAGGACTTTGGCATCAATACCATCAAGCACTCCCATGCCAGTCCCCAAAAAGGAGGGGTCCCTGCATGGACGTAAGTTGAGCTGAGGTAGAACATCACTATGGAGCCAGGCTAGCCATCCCTCGTCAATGGTAAACGAGAAGGTGGATTCAGTGTGGATGTATTTGTTAATACTGCTCGCTCAACCCATTTTAAGGACCAGCCGGGATCCAAAAGTAGTTGCCGAGTATGATTTTTTCCGAATCACCTAGGGACCTACTTCAGTAAAAATGGGGGATGAAGTCAAGGGTGAGTTGAGAAGGATGGTGGGAGGGTTGGTTGTGATGAATTTGGGAGGAGACGGACTTGGAGATGAGGGAATGATATTAAATTTAAAAGCAAGAGCCATCAGAGTCTTAGCCCAAAGGCACTCACTGTCAACAGGGTGAGAAGAATAAGGGTCATGCTATAAAAGGATTGACATAGGAACCCTGTGTCATCAGTAATTCACTAATACTGGGCTCAAACTTGTATCTGGGTGTGTAAAGACTTACACAACCATGGTTATCAGGCAGGACATGGGGCACATCTTTTGAAGAGTAACTTGGACTAGTTGATGGGCTCAGGATATCTCAAATTTTATTGTTGAGCTGTGGAAGCACCATCTGGACTCATTAATTCATCATCACATCCCACCTCTGCTCCCGCTCTGTGCCGGCTCTTTCCTTTCTGCACATGGGGCTCGGACACATCACGCAAAGCGACTCCAGCCCTGGTCCTCCTGTGAATCTCCTGGTGCCTCGTACAGTGGGAGGCTTGGCGGAAGCTTTTGTTGCAGATGGGGCAGGTGTAGGGTTTTTCTCCCGTGTGGATTCGTTGGTGGGTGACGAGGAGAAAATTAGAGTGGAAATTTTTCCCGCAGTCAGAGCATCTGTAAGGTCTCCCCTCGGTGTGGAACCGCTGATGCTTCAGGAGAGCTGCAATGGCACCAAAACATTCCTCACAACTGGGACACTTATAGGGTTTCTCCTCAGTGTGGCTCCTCTGGTGTCTCCGAAGGGTTGAGCCATCGTTGTAGCACTTCTCACAGTTGGGACACTTGAAGGGTCTCTCCCCCGTATGGATTCGTTGGTGTTTCAGTAGGGTTGCGCTGTGGCTGAAGGTCTTCTCACACTTGGAGCATCTATAGGGTCGCTCTCCAACGTGGGTAGCCCTGTGAAGGACCAGAGCTGACTTTGCATAGAAGCTCTTACTACAGTAGGGGCATTTATAACGTCCTTCCCCGGCATGGGCTCCCTGAGATGCCCTCTTCTTCTTTTCCATGTGGATCTTCTTGTGTTTGATGAGTCCAGAGCTGTCTGTGTAGCTTTGCCCGCAATCCATACATTTGTACGGTCTCTCCCCGGTGTGGCTTCGCTGGTGTCTCGTGAGGTGGGAGCTCAACCGAAAGCTTTTATTGCAGTTGAGACAGTTGTAGGGTTTCTCCCCGGTGTGGATTCTCCGATGGGCAAGGAGGTCTGAACTCATGATGAAGCCCTTCCCGCATTCAGGGCACTTGTAGGGTTTCTCCCCAGTGTGGACCCGCTGGTGAACGATAAGGGTCGATCTCCGGTTGAAGACCTTCCTGCATACCGAGCACTTGAACGGCTTCTCTCCCGTATGGATCCGCTGATGAATGGCCAGGTACCGTCTCAAGCTGAAGTTCTTCCCGCATGCAAGACACCGAAAAGGGTTGTCCACGCTATGGGTGGCTTCATGGGCCTGTAAATACGCACTCAACCGAAAGGTCTTTCCGCAAACGAGGCAGACATAGTGTTTTTCCCTGGTGTGGATCTTCCGATGGGTGCTGAGGGTGGAGGTGAGACGGAAACGCTTCCCACAGTCCGAGCACTTATAGGGTTTCTCACCCGTATGGATCCGTTGATGCTTGTTGAGAGCTGAACCAACTCGGAAACCCTTCCCGCACTCATGGCAGGTGAAGGGCTTTTCGCCGGTGTGGATGCGCTGGTGGGGGATGAGGAAGGACCTCCGAGTGAAGAGCTTCCCACAGTCAGGACAGCTATAGGGGGCCTCGTAGGTGGCCCCACTCTTGCTGCAGCTATAGGGTTTCTTCGTTGCACGGCTCCCACGGCGAGCTTGCAGCCGTCCACCCTTCCGCGGTGATGGGCGTCCATGGGCGGCCTTACTTGGTTCTTCAGGGGCTTGTGGTTGACTCTCACAGTCGTGCTGCACCATTGGGTTTAGTTCTTGGGGGATGTCCACCTCAAATGGGTCGCAAAGCAGCTCAGATCCTTCTGGTTCCTCCAGACTCTTTTCCTTCCCATCCGCCATCCTGTCAGCTGTAGGAAAAAAGATCCCAAGCCCTGGTGAGGGAAATGCCTTTGCCAAAGTTTCCGTGAAAGTTTAAAGCTCTGATGCCCACATCTAGCCCGGTCAACAGCTCCAGTGGTACCATGGAGTGGTGGTGGTGACCCCAGGCTACAACCCCACACCGATGCAGCTCACAGGGCATGAGGACACAGGAAAAAAACATGGGAAAGAGATCTATTGAGGGTTACCAGACAGAGAAGGTCCATGTGGACCTCTCGACCGAGGAGGATGATCGTGTCCTTCTCCTCCCCTGCTGCCCACCTGCCCAAGGGGCTTCTCCTCCGTGCCACCCTTTTCCACATCCAGACCCCCCCACCTTGCTGCACCGGGAAGACCTGGAGAAGAAAGAGGATGCTGTGATGGAGTCCCACGGTCACTCGCACCCCACGGGTGGGACGGGACCGACCACCACCACCTCACCCCGTGTCCCAAAGCATCATCAACCACCGGCATCCAACTGGACCTGGGGGCAGGACCCATGTGTCGGGCGGGACCCAACCACCACCCCCCGCCCCCCAGCTGCATCCCAGCCCCCCGGGACCCTCAGCCCCACGGCACAGCCCGGGGACTCTCGGGGGGGGAGCGGGGCAGAGAGGGGCTGGGGCTGCCCCGGGCCCCCCCTCCCCGGTTACCTGCGGGGGGCGGCGGGGGCAGCGGCCGGGCGGGGGGCGATGCTGCGGGACGGGGCAGCGGTCTTGTG